TCAGGACTAAGAAAATATCTCATTGTATATAAATACTTATGTAAACACACACACAAATATGAAACAATACATCCTGCATAAATGGAAAGATGTTATCTAGGATTCAATTTGCAAAGTAAAATCACAATGCACTTGTCTCCATTAGAATACATTCACAGAGACAAGAAGCATGCACACCATATATATGTCTACATTCAGTAGGCTAAAATTTAGACAGGTTAGACTTTTATCCTTATTAAGAAGCATTTTGGCTACAGGGGACATGCTCTTGTGCTTTATCAAGTGACAAATATTCATGAATTTGAGAAGATTACATTTCTTGAAATTTCTCATTAGAAGAGTTTTCTGTGAAGAAAAACTAGTATCAAATAATGTTAAGCCATTTAATTCTATGAGGACTAAGCAAAATGTTACAGATTTGAGACTGAGGCTTGAAACAAATATGATCATACAAAAAGACTAGAGAATTGAAGGAAATAATATTGTATGTGCTTCATTATATACTGCATTTGCTTTGAAAATAGTAACCACTCAAAAATTCAAAGCTCATGTGCTACAGTAGTTATGGCTTCAGTTCAGCTTGTTTTCTTATTCCAGACCATGCTGAATGAGTTGGGAATCAATGGGAATATTACAGCTTTCTGATACACAAATTGCACTAGCCCTACAATAATTAGCAAGGCTTAAAGACCATTCTAACACCCTAAGATATGGTCCTAAAGGATTATTCCTATAAAAATTGCTATAAAGAGAGGACTTTAGTGCTATCTCATGTTCATTTCTTTTCCTGTCTTATTGCCTTTAAAACAGATGGTTTGGGACCAAGTGTCACCATTTTGTATTAAATGAGAATTCCTTTCCCCTGGAGCATTCTCAGTTGCCTCCCTAATGCACAGCATAGTTTGCTAATAGGTACATCCTGAGAGGCTTTAAATAGAAACTAGGTTTATTTCTTGTACATGGAATTATGGAGAACTGAATTTGCATAATGACAGATTTAACACACAATAGGAGATTTTGGATTATGTTTCTTATACAGAAGTACATCTTGTAGCTCTTGCAATTTTTTAACTCCTTGAGTTGGATAGTGGTGAGACTAATTCTCACTTTTAGAAGTACTATCAAATGGTGCTTTTACAGATATTAAAAGAGTAACAACTTCAGACTCATCAGTTCCTTTGACTTTAATTACAGTTCTTGACAACCTGAGTTGCAGATGAGTAACACACATGCAGAAACACTCACAGACAAGAAGATATACCCTCAAGGGAAAACATCAACAGGATTCCCAGCCTGAGAAAAATCAACTGCAAGTACTGAACAGAACAGCTTACAACAACGTATTTAATAAAACTCACAACAGAGATGTGTTTCCATTAAATGTGGGAGGTCAGAATAGCCTTTAGGAAGAGATCAAACTTAGTGAGGAAGGTTAAAATATGCTTTCTATCCTTAACCTCTGAAATATTTTCTTCCACACTTGGGACATAGTGTTATTGCAGTGATTATTTACATTCTTATAGAAGCAAATGAAGAGTATTTCTGTTGTCACATGTGTGGTCTTAAATAACTGACAAGCAGCTGCATCAACAAAACAGTTTTGTTTTGTGTAATGTATTTAAGACATTGATATAAAGTCAAACTAAAAAACTATCCAGTATTGGAAAAATCAATCCTAACCTCTTACTGTTAGATATTCTCAAATGCTTTCTTTTGCATCAATTCTTTCTGATTCTGACTAATATGTCATCAAAATACCTTGTTGACTAAATTACCAGGTAGTTAATAGTATCTCTAGAAATTGAGATGAAGTATACAAGTAGTATGTCCTAAATTAGAACTCTGTAAAACTGGATTAGAGCATCAAGATCTGAGCCAAAAGATGGCAGAAACATTTTCATCCCTTTTTATACCTGCAACTAGTTTCAACATTTCCATTTTCAAAAACTTAGAGAAGTTACAGCTTTAGTCAGTGTCAGGTAGGATCTTACATATTTCATCATTCCTTAACTGTGACAGTTAATGTAGAAAAAGGATTTTTCCACTTATCCATTAAGCTGATCCACTACAGCAACTGGACATCTTTGGGTCAGAGGTGTGTCTGTGTTAAGCTCTCAGACTTTTATGATATGTGTCACCTTGGCATTTTTACATGGCCTTTGCAAGATCTTCTTTCAATTTCTTAAAATATATCCATTTTTATCTTCTGTGGGTATACCAGTCTGTGTAAGCTTCTGCACAGTTGGTACTCCTCAGATATTCACCATCTTGCTGTGCTCAAACTTTGTGAACAGCAGCCATTGGTACCTGTGTGGTGCCTGCCCTTGCCCATCATGCGTTCATCTTTTTAAGCAAGAAAGCAAGCACTTTAGGATTTTCTTCCAACAGATCTTTGAGACTGGACTGAACATGGACCTTGACTTTAAGTTGATTTAAAGTGCCTGAGTGCAAGTGAGTAAGTTAATTGCTTGACCTGTGTTCACATAATTTTCTTTTGCTGTTAGGGTTAACTTACATCCCTTAGGAAAATATTTGATATTAAAGTTTTCATTTACTGTCTCTTTGCATTTCCTTGCATTCATTTAATTGAACTTATTGTATTTCTTAGGACACTTGGAAGATTTCTGTCCTTTCTTGAATGTATTTACATTTTTAAAATGTTTTCCTGAGGTATATTCTTTCTCTACTTTTATTCAGTAATGTGTTCTAGTAGGCAAGTAATGTGTTCTAGTGTATGTTCACAATGCAATCTTAACTTTTTTGCTCTTCTCTTAATTTTCTTGATACTGACTATGGATATCATACTAAGCCAGTGAAAACAAGATCTCAGATTTAAGTAGTGCTATCCCTACAATACCATCTGGGGTATTATCTGCCACCTAATCTGTTGAACTGTTTATGTCACATTATCATGATGGAATCTTCCATATTTCTCCATACTTCTTGTCTTGTGTTGTTACTGGAGAATATCCCTGGCCATACCTCTGGCATTTAATTGTGCTATTTCCATATGTTTCTATTCCAATAAAAGACAATTTAATTCTTTTGAGAAGATCTTAGAACTGCTAGTACAAGTGTAATATTTCTCATGTTTGGGGATATATTGTCTGAACATCCTTCTCTTTATCAGAATGAGCAACCTGGCTTAGGCTTCATAAAATCTGGTGGTCACAGGAGTTCAAAATATATTCCTACTTTATTTGGCAAAAACAACTGTGGTGCACTAGTCAAGCCATAGGTTACCTAAGTTATGAATTAACTGAATACTACTTGGTGCTTTTTGCCATAAAAACCTTTAAAAATTTGATTTTTCTTTTCTCTTTAGCATAGCAGTAGACATACATGTTAATAAGGAGTCAATGCAATACAGGGTACCAGAGGTGGTTTTCCTCCTCTTTAGCTTCATACATGCAAATAGCTTGTAATCAAGATGATGTAAAGAGAAATCAGACTGATGTATGTTTAATTCAACTGCGAACAGCACTGTCATCACGTAGCATTACTCAGCTGCAGCCTAGTTTTGCATTGTGTTCCTGGAGTTACATATCATCTCTAACAGTCACAATAGCTCTTCATTTCGTCAACTGGGCTAGCCCATTTGTTGGGTTTTTAAATCCACAAATATACTTGCTTAGAGCAGCATCTGCAGATGCTGCAGGTTTAACATTATGACAAAAGTTTTGAAGGTTAAGGAGAAAAATACTTGACTTCTGTTGTCAGGTGAAGTGACTGGTACTAGACACGAGTCACACACTTTCTTTTTCAGTAGAAGGAAAGGAGAGAAAAGCAAAGAACACACAGGGAGCAGGGAATGCAAATTAATCATTATTAAGACAGAAAAACTAATCATGATTATGTTACAATTCACATGAGCCTTGTAGCACCAAAAAAGCCTAAAGGAAAACATCAATATTAACTCTGTGTGCTTATAATACATACTCTTAAAAGAGATTTAAGGATCATTCATTTTTCCTCTTCCAAATGGCAGGATCTTATGCTGGGATTCTTTACTGGCACTGAGTAGTCCCCTGTTCTCTAAGCAGTTTTATTTAATGAGTTAAGTTTAGCAGCATATACTATTTTTTTTCAGTTATAGTATACAGCTAGGTTATTAAAAAAGTCCCAGTGGATAATCTAAGAAATTACGTTTACTCTTAAACCTGTTTTTCCAGAATTTGGATGATAAAGTTATAAAAATTATATACCATTTTAAGCCCTCCAGTTTCAGTTCTTGGGATGTTGTTTGAAAAAAAATGTGCCTCAGCCGTAAGGCTGTCATTGTCTAAAAATGTGCATCTTTAAAAACATAACATCTTTGCAATTTTATTGATATTTTCTGGAACTTTAAAGTGTGCTCTGTAAATAAGTGTATGCCCAAAATTTTTATACTTCCCTCACTTGTTCTTTCAGCACAGTTTGTCAGTTCTCATTTTCAATCCAAGAAACCATAATTCTTTCCTGACCTCCTTCATATAGTGCTGTAGGTGGCCAACCGTCTGGCTTATTCTACTCAAGGGTCAGCACAGAAATCTGGATTGGAGAATGTTTATTCAGTATAGTGGGACACAAGCTTAATTCCAGTTGTAGTCAATGGAATTCTAGCTGCTTTCATCAATGTGCAATTTGGCTCTACAAAACCACACATAAAATAGTGTCACTTGGAAATCTCTTAATCAAATTCATGCCCAATCTGATGACAATCAGCATTTGATGGGGATAGAGCTTTCTATCCTCTCTGGTTTTCATCAAAAGGTACCAGAAGTTATCCCCTTTCCCAGTCAGCAAACCCTGTAGGGCTTGCAGGCTTAACCTGTGCTATTGGAACAAGTGAGAGGAACCACCAGACTGCGGGGTTACTCATCGTGGAAGAGTCCCTGTTTCCTTGGCCAAGCATAGCTCCTTCAGCACACGTTTTCCTCTCTCCCCACCTCTACGCTACGGCACAATATTTCTCTTGCTCTCTCTCTCACTATCTCTTTTCTGTATCTCTCGGAAATCAGACTGGAGTTCAGAGCACTTTCACTACCTTTTATGAGGTAGAGTGTGATGTCATAGATGGGGGCAGGGCTAGTCAACTTTCCACCCACCCACCCACCTGTGCTGAGGGAGCTACGCTTGAGACCGGAAGCGGTGACTCCTCAACGGTGAGTAACCTCCTGTCTCATCTATGTCTTTATAGATCTGGGGGTGGAGGGAAGAGATGTGACAATGTGGGATTTTTTGGATAGCTTCTTTTCTTTCAGTCAGCCATAGGACTCACCAAATTAATTGCATGTGTTATCTTAGCCACCTGCGAAAAAGCATTTCCTTCCTGCCCTGAAGTCCTAGAGTTAACATCAGCTGAGAAGCGACGCTCACATATCTCTGCAGGGGTGGTCCATTTACTGATGGTTAAACATCCTTTAATGTTTCTCTTGCCTCATGAAAAAGCAGGCTCTGCTGCCCTTGAACTCAGTTGCTAAAGTTCCATTAATTTAATTACAGTGTTTAATTACAGTGCTGGGCCATAGTTTTTCTAAACTTCTTTACGATTAAAGATAAATGGTGTTATTTATGTATTTATCATTACTAACTGTGGCTAATGGCTGTTTATGTGGGACAGGAATTTTTTTTCTATATTCTTTGTTACTGTTTTTATACACTTTATCCAGAATATTTATGAAGCTGTGTATTGACAATAGGCCAATTGTAAGACCTGTTTTATAGACTAAATAAAATTCGGAGGTAAATTGTGGAAGATTTAAAATTAAGCAGGAAATCTCCAGGAGATGTAACTGAGATTTCACCATTGAAATTATAAATCAAAGCATTTGCTTTTTGTTTTCTGTGATAAGAACTTGAGATGGGCAGGGATACTGCTAACTGAATTTCTTGGTGTTTTTCTTGTGTCACTACCTAAACATTGCTATTTTACTTTAAAGCATTGTATTGTTTTCTATTCCACTTCGGCCCAATTATTACTGCTTCACTGTTTTAATATCCCTCAGCATTTTAAAAAAGGCAAGATGGACCATGAAGATCTTCCTTTCTTGTTCTGCCTCTAGGGTATCTATTAAAGCTGTCAAGGTGTCAGAGCTCTCATATTAAAGGGCAGAAGAAGGATCATATGAAGATTTTGGCCCCTAGGGATACTGTAAATCTTGCTGTTCTTGTTCATTTAAAGCTCTTTACCAGCTTCGTGTGGGGTCTTGTCATATCTCAGTGGGAGGCACTAAAAGGCAGCAACATGTGCTCTATAAATCAAAGACACAGAGTGCAATCACAGCCTTTTCAGCAGAGGTGGTCCATAGTCTGATTGATGAAGTACTTTCTATTTTCAGGTGACTAGGTGCCTTTGAGCAATTGGGTAAGGATGCAAACCATTCCATCTTCTGGTCAGTGGCATGTATTGGGGATTGGTCAGTAGTGATGGATAGATATTCCTCCCTGATGACTCAGGAATGCTCTTTGTATCAATGCATAGGAGAGCTGAATGAAATTCTGGGAGGATGAGAAGTCTTGTTTGCAGAGCTACCTACCAAAACTTTCACTAATGATTGTTTTGCTTCCTGTCAGAGAGAAAAATAAGGACAAAGCATATAAAAATGTCTCCCTGACAGGTGGTAGCTTTTCTAGCTTTGAATAATGTGCAGAAGGAGTTTTATTACTACTGTTTATTCCTTTAGTGAACCAAACACTGAAATCTCCAAATCTTCCTTTGCAAAGCCACGAACTTGTCTAGCAAATTTAGCTTCCCCAGCAAACTTTAATCTTTTCAGTAAGAAAGGAAAAACAGGTTACACAATCTAATGTTTCATTGGGAAAACTTTATGGGAATTGCTGCTCTTAAGGATGATTTGAGGTTTGTTCTTTTCAGAGGCAAACGCTTAGAGGTAAAATTTAATTTAGATCCTGAGCACATCCTTGGCTGATGAGTTTATCAAATTGTCTTAGTACATAATTATTCTTGCATAATGCAGGAGATTTTAATTTTTGCACAGAATTGATAAAACATAAGGATCAACTGTACAGTGCCTCTAATCTCACTTAAGTGATACAAAAGCACTTTGGTGGCATAAATAGGGAAACTCTTTTTAAAAGTGGAGTAAGGATTGGAAAGAGGAAATCAGAATTTTTATCATTCAATAATTATGGTGAATTAGAGATAGTGATCAGCACTGAGGGGGTATTGTGGAACAGAGATGTCACTGGATTACTTTAAATCCAGAGAAATTTGCTCTCTAAATTTATCTTGTAAGATGAGCAAATTAGCAGTTGGCTGACTTCTGTATAGCAGGGAGTTTGTAGAAGGAATGATATTCCAAATTACATAAACTGTTGCAAATAATTAACCTGGAATCTCTCTGTGCCAATTCTAATAAAAAATTTTTGTCCAGGCAACCCCAGGATGTGAGTTTGCCTGAGTAACACTGCGAGAATAAAAAGCCTAATTTTACATTTACTGAGCTAATTCCCCTGCTAAATTACTTTACTGGCAGCTATGATTAAAAAAAATATTTAAAAGTCTGAAGTGCACAGATTCCTACATTTTACAGCTTAGGCTTAAATGTGTATTCAGCCAATTACAATGTTTGTTTAACATTATTTACATGTACATAAATTTAATTAAAATATTATGAGGCCTAGATTTCAGCTGATTTTATTCAGTGTTTAATATGAAAACTTTTAAAGCAAATATCTGTACAACTTCTTCCAATATATGCTAATTTAAATGAGTTAAATCTTCAGATGTTTTTTGCAAAGTGAAAGTTGCTTTATCTCGTGGTGTTCTTAAAAATGTGTTGGTTTAGATTTGCAAGCACATTGGGTTTAACAAAACCAGTAACTGGCATTTTTATACCTATATATTTAAGGAAGTCAGCATCTAAATTACAGATTTGTTCCTTGGTCATACTGGCAAAGGATGAGCAATAACTTAGTGGTGGAAGATCATCTCTAGGGATCAAACATTTTTTCAGTATGATTAAGGTGGCTATGTAAAATTCCCAATTTTTCTCTTATTTCCCAGGCTTATTTCGCTTACATGTTGAATCAAAACTTTGTGGGTTGGTTTTTACCTTCTTTTTCTATATGAGAAGTGAGGGAGAGCTGTGAAATGCACCATCTGTTGCTAAACCATGTCAGCTGGCATATAGATGCTTATCACCCTGCCCTCTTACTGAAGTTTTAGGCTGGTATAACACCATTGACTCTAAATGGATTACTTTGGATTTAATCTTGTTTAAGCAAAAAAAGTCACAATGATAGTGCATAGCATTCTAGAGGACTCTTCATGTTGATTTAAATTGCAATCCTGTTAAACTTGGACCTCAGCTCGTTTGAATTGTCAACAGAAATGCTCACTAGCACTTGAACTGAGTACAGTAGATAGAGGAAACCAGGACTGCCTTAACACCCTGGGTTTTCTGGGATAGTGGCATCTCAAAGACATTAAACATGATTCTGTTCAATCATAATCCTTTGTATTTTTATCAGTCCCATCTGAGAATCTCAAAGCAAACACATGGTGTACCCTTGTAAAACTGAAAACAGAAGCAAATATTGTCATTGTTTCCCTTCTGCAAATAATACTGAGCCACACTCAAGGCAGACAAGATCTATAGAATTTCAAGCACTACATCCTTCTTCAAGCCTCAGCTAATTTTTAAGACCAGCATTTCACCATGTTCCAATCTACATTCCAGTTTCCACTCTGGATGGCCAAATAAAAATAGAAGTTGAAACCAAAACAAACAAAACAAAACCAAACAACAAAGTAGGAGAAAGACTTCACCATAGTTGAGAAGTATGGTTTGAAAAAGAGGGTTGGAAAGAAATCTTTCAGTAATAGTGGGAGGCTGTGCCACTCAGGTTGTGCAAACAATGAGTGTAGGTCTATGGTGTAAAGAAAACTGAGTATTTTATTATTCAGAAAGCCATTAATTGATTATGAGAAGGTTTTTACTATCTCCATTGATATGTGGAAAGTGATTCATCTAGCCAAGTGTAAGCATCGACATCTCAGATGTTCACTCCAGGCTTCCTTTATGTGGAACTCAACAACCATTTCTAGAGAGCAGTTATTCTTGTTTCAGGTAGACAATGACTACTGATTAGAGTAGTAATATCTAAAAAATAAAAAAAACATACAGGGAATGGGCAGGTGAACTAAGCCATGTATTCAGACAAGTATAGAGTCAAAGAGTTTAGCTTTGAGGTTCGTTTGAGGGCATATATTGATATGTAAGTGAGGTCAACTTTCTGTGAACTTTGCTGCTGCCTAACATTTTTCTGAACAGAAATATTTAAATTGTTTATTCAGGAGCATTTATCTATGTAAAGTGGCTGTCAGAATTCTCTAATCTCATTAATTTCTGGAGGTTGGGGAGATTGATATGTTTTGTAGTATGTGGGTTTCACTCATTTGATACTTTTGGGGACCAAAAGAGAAGAAGTAAGGAAAACAGGCTCAAGAATATTCATTGTTTGTTTGAATTCTTGGACTACTGGTTCAAATCCAAGGACAAATTTTTGCAGATGTTGAGCATCTGTGCCCAGATTCACTGTACTGTCCTTAGGATTCTAATTCAATTTAGGATCTCGAAAAGTAATGTAAAAGGTGAGGTGCTCTTGCCCATCTCCATAGAAAATGAACCCATGGAAGATCTCAAGTGCTCCTTGGCTCCTGGTCTACTTCACCAAACACAAAAGAAGTCTGGAATCTTTTGGTCCAGCACCTGGAATTAGGTAGGATGAGTGCAGGATAAAACTTCATTTATAGAAACGGAAACTCTCTGAAAACTTTGCCTCTGTCACTGAAGACATTGAATCAATGGGTTTTATGAACAGCCCTGGATTTTCCTGCCATTGTTCCTACAGAAACTGTTAAATTGGAGATATCTGAAAAAATTCTTCTAGTGGTTCTAGTGACATCAGCCATAAATAAACACGTCTTGGATCATGACTAATATTTAAAGACATTCAGTCTGGATTTTTCTGGTGCCAGCTAAGTACAGTCAAGTCTATAGATAATCATGCCTAATGTACAATATTGAAATAAGAGCTTTATAAGAAAAGAGCAAGTGCAAATGCTTTTTCATTTCACCATTCTTCTAAATAACAGCTGACTTTATACCTTCATCTCCTTTATATAAATTCTGAATTA